CTAATTCTTAATTATTAGCCGAAAATTATCTCGATAATGCATGCATGGCTCAAATTAACTGCGCACAATAGCGTAAAGAGTTAGTAAGTTAGTATAAGTATAATATGCATGTTAGTTATAATTCATAAGATGCTCAAGCGTATAAATTAAAATTGTTCTTCAGCAGCATATTGAAATAAATGTGTTTGGGGTTGGTTCGAATGAGGTCAAAGGCAAAGCTGCGGCTGTGGGAAATAGACTTTTAAAACACTTTAGAAAAGGTCTTGATTATCTATTTGATATCTAAGCTTTCGTCGTCAACGACATCATCAGAGATAGTGATTCGACTTCTCGAGGTTACAATCACTTCTCGGTTAGAATCGACTTCTCGTTACAATCAGTAACCAGAGAAACCTTTCTTTACCAACTACAAGTCCGCGATACCCAACCAAGCCAAATCTGCTATGATCAGAAACGAAGGAAACCGAATCAATGAAAGAAGTAGCTCAACACATACCAAAGACACACACAACAAAGACTTTGATGAAATTCTTCGTGTCAATGGATCACCCGCAACGAATGATCAAACCTAGCCCTAGCCCCAAAACCAAAACCACCCCAAGATTCGCCCTAACCACGACGCTGAATGGCTATGCTTACAAATACCATACATCTCTAAAGGCCTGATTCTACGACGGCGAATTAAATTGTGTCTGCAAAATACTAATGGTTGCACATGAGCGATTCCATTGCATTTTCCCGACTTTTCCCGCTTTCACAGTGAGTAGCCAACTGATGACTTCTATACTAACTGGTAAGCGAAATTTTTTCTCGTGAAGCCTAATGTATCTAGCTTTACTGCGCATGTACCTAATTCATTTCCAGCGAAAAATTTTGCATTTCACCGAAAAAAGCGCCCGCAGAATCAGGCCTTAACAATGGTTAATTAATTTTTATTAGCCCACATCGTTTTAATTAATTGCTTTTTAACCCAGTTACATACATTGTACATTATCTGACATAAATCCATCCTTGTCGGTGTTTATCCTATACATAAGGGGCGGACCATTAGAAATCCCGGGAGGGGGGGTATAAAATTTTTGCGGCACGAATTTTTTTTTCAGTCTCGTGTCTCTGCAGGAATTTTTTTTAATGCATTTAACCTCTGCACGAATTTTTTTTTCAAGACTATTTCTACTTCGCTGTTTGCTTGCACGAATTTTTTTTCTCTGACGTAATGGCTGCACGAATTTTTTTTCCAGGCATTTTCCTTTGCACGAATTTTTTTTTGGGAATTTTCACCCCCCCTCCCGGGATTTCTAATGGTCCGCCCCTAAAGACTTTTTCTAAGTACTATTTAAAACATGAGCAGCAGTGTTTTATCAGATATAAAGATACCGGCGAAGCAAAGCAGAGTATCGGCTTTAGGTCTGATAAAACACGCACTGCGAATGTTTATGCGAATGCGTCGATCTAGTATTAAAGTTTATTGACATTGGCGAAGTAATTTTCAAAAAATACGTTGTGTAAGTCGAGAAAAGTCGTTAAAGTTGATGTAAATCAAGGGAATCTCTATCACATATGAAGATACGACACGCTTATGATTTTTCTTTGTGTTTTGCTCATGAATTATTATATAACGAGTTTTTGAAAGTGTTTTTATAGACTATTCTAGATAGACCATTCTAGATTATTTCTGGAACCAACCCCAAACACATTCATAAGATACGGCTGTCTGTTTCGTAAGTTAAATTCTGTACACTTACTCAGAATGCAGCACTTGTACAGTTGTTCTCGAGCGTAATCAGATTAATTGAAGAAATATATTAAATATTAATAATTTAGAATAGAATTAAAGAACGAATTAAAGAATTTAGAATAAAGACTTTATTAGTCTTTACAATCTTAGAGATTTGTTTTGCGATATAGTCTTGGTACCGCTGCAATTAAAAACTTTAGTGAACTATAACGATGCTTTTTTCAAGTGCTAAAATCAGTGGACCATCTATCTTCTCTGACACAATTACAACTCAGGAAAGCGCCATCGTTTTCAACTACCTTCAACATTAAATACGTGTACTTATTATATATCAGTACTATGTTTGTTGCATGGTCAGTGCCGTAGCAAGCTCGATAATGGACGACTTGCGCTTTAGACTAAATTTTAATCTAAGTAAGAACAACGAAATCTATCACCAGTCACCACAGTTAGAAAGAGCGTCTTGGAATTAGTAATATTACAAAGTTTGGTTGCGAAATGTTGTAAAATACGGAAAATATAGCCCTTCAAAGTTGCCAAATTTGTATACTTTTGTATTTCGTGCGTGAATTGGTAACTAAATTAGTTACCAATTTCCGCACGTAATAGAAATGTATACAAATTTGCCAACTTCGCAGGGCTATATTACCCCACCCCAATCGCCACAAAAACCATCCCAACTGCAACATTTCCGATCAAAATGAAATTGGGATTTTTTCCTCCCAGCATCACAGAAGGGAAGTAAGGTGACCCGAACTCCTCCTCCAGTTTTCTCAGGTGACTTTTCCAATTCGTTTAAATTCTCGAAAACAAATGTCTGGGAAAAGGTACGTTTTTGAGATCATAAAAAATCATGTTTTTCAGCTTTATAATCATCGGAATTCTTTATAATCATCGGAGTTCCGAGGGAACATACCACGGATCCCTAGCAGGTCTCGCGCCTTTGGCGTTGGGTTCGCGCCTCCAAAAATATGGCCCCGGCTATGCCACTGCAGTAGATTTAAACATTTTTCCAGGGAAGTATAGAACTACATGTGTAGTCGACAGATCGGACAGTTTTTATTGTGAGAGTGGAGACGTTTGCGCAATCCGCGTATATGCAATGTCAACCAAAGTTTAGTGAATGTGCATGCCCGTCGTGTACATGGGCTAATGCAGACTAGGCTAATGACTTGGCAAAACTATTCCCCAGCCCCCCCCCCGATTGAAGGAGGCCTAGCGCCGTCCCTGCTTACAGACCATATCACAGAGTAATTACATACAGAGGTTTCACTTCAGCGAAAAAACCGTAAAGTCCGCCGCACACGAGAGCTAGCTCAGCTATGTATTTTCACCGCACATGTTGGGAAAACTATATTCAACAACAATATAATTAACAAAATATATCATTTGTATTTTCCTCCATTTCGTTCCTAGTCACATGAAGAAACTATGGTTTGTCATTGGCTAATTGACTCAAACAGCTCAGCACTTAGCTCACAACATCCGCAGACGCTGAGATTTTTTCCTCGCGAGGTGAAAAATATCAAACACGATACTAGATATTTTCCTCAAGAGGTCAAATCCTCACGTAAACTATCCGCACACGAGAGCAACTTGCTCAACCTCGCAAGCAAGGGCCTCCACACCCGCGGCGGGACGGACACCCTTGTAAAGGCTGGTCACGTGACCTCCCAGATTCTGGGAGGTAAATCAAATTGTACTGAGAGAGGTGTGGTTGAGGAGCGGGTCTGTAAATTTCTCATATTCTCCAAATATGAGAAATTTACAAACCCGCTCCTCAACCACCCCTCTTTCAGTATAATTTGATTTACCTCCCAGAATCTGGGAGGTCACGTGACCAGCCTTTACAAGGGTCTCTGTGCCGCCGCGGGTGTGGAGGCCCTTGCTTGCGAGGTTGCAACTTGCTGAGCTAGCCGCCACGCGAGGCGGTTAGCTCAGCAAGTTGCTCTCGTGTGCGGCGGGCTTAAGGTAGAGGTTTTTGTTGCGCATATCTGGCGGCCATGCTCTTGGCAAATGGCCTAAAGATTGGCATTTACCCCCCTGGAACATTAAATTTCAATATGTTTTCAGGGGGGTGACGGACCCTCTTCAGGGCACTTGCTAAGAACATGGCGTAACTAGAAAAAACCCTTACGCTATTCTTATTAACACTCGTAATTAATGATATGCAAAGATGAAAGAGACAAAATAAGGCAAACGACGTATAGCATATATAAGAGAGTTTGGCAACCTAGAACGGCAAGTCGGCAACGGGGAAAATATAATTGCTTATATTGTTGTATTTGAGCCAAAGTATACGTTACTACACTTAATTTCCCTCTTTAAGTATTCTTGCTTCTCTAAAACAGCTCTTAAGTAAAAATAGTCCGCGAATTCAATAAAACATGAAATAACATCGAACGAATGAACTGTTGCCGTAGTCATGCACCGTGAAAATTATGCAAATCACGTACTAGTTTCAACAACTACGGCATTGCACAACGCTTTAGACCATGTAATTTACATTCGCCTTTGTCTTTGAGGATTAATGCTATTGTTGATGACCATATTGCCGTTGCCCTTGTATTTGCCAAACTCTCTATTATGTGCACGGGTGGTGAATTATGTGCATGGGTGGTGAACGTAGCTATGAAAGACAAGGTCAACGCCCACAAAGCTCAATTCTTGTTCAGTTCAACTTGAGAAGAACATTCCTTCCACCCAACACCGCGGAAAAACGTCTGCGCATGCACCAAATTATGAAAATATGGCGGGGAATTTGAATATCAATTTCTAAAACAAAACATGCTTATTAATTGGTCAAAAATTAGTAAAACAAACGAGAAAATATAGCAAATGGGTAGACTAGACATTAATTGAAAGCGTCCTGGCATTTAAAGTATGGAATGAAATATAATTCATGTAAAAAATTGTTGATTTTAACGGACACGACTTCGAAAATTTTTGCAAAATTATTCAAAACAAAAATTCAAACTCAAAAGTTAAGAAAACTCTCGAAAAGTTAAGCTTCTTAACCCACTCAAATTGTAGAATAAATCCTAAAGTTTAATTATTGTGAACACGAAAATTTTTTATATTTGGCGACACAGTTTTTTTTAAAGAAATGTATCTCAAACGAAAATTCGGAAATTGTCGTTGCTTAGTTGATAAACAAAATGTTTCAGACGATAAATTTGTCAACAATCACCTTTAGTTCATGTTCTTGTACAATACAATTTCTTGAACCTTCTGGCTGTATTTATTCCTAGTTTTAGAATGACATGTTTATTTTTGCGCTCGAAATCTGGCTGTAAAGACGCACAATGAAGTCACTCCTTTTTACCGCCATTTTGAGCCTTCGGAAACGTTCGGAACAGCTTCTCATCAAGTTCACAATACTATTACAGGTAAGGCTGACGCATGCGCAGACGTTTTTCCGCGGTGTT